TCAATTTCGCACAAATGCGTCAGAGAGACACCATATCTTCTAACTCAGAGGCACATCTCGTTTTGTGTCCGTTTTTAACGACCGATGACGGGTTCATTCGAAGTCGAAGTCTTTTTTTATATATATATGACCGCACAATATTCCCGCGTTGTGAAAATTTATTATAAAATATCAATTATATGGCCAGATTATATCTGAAAATAACCATGGTAAGTCTAGGAGGAGGCTATTCAACCTTGGTACATTGGTGAGCCCTCGGATGAAAAATTAGGCCGAAATGAGTGGATTGAATTTCGGGTTTTAGAATCAATTTTAGAATCAATTTTCGAGATAACGAACCACGACGGCTAATATTTAGCGTTTCCATCTCGATTAAAACGCCACCAGTTCCTATGCACATGCATATATTCAGTTGGAACTGGTTCTTAAACAGATAGATTTGATCAATAAATCTTGATAACTGCAAAATATTAAGTTAAGTATGAATTTATTTTTGACCAAGCGTCGGTCTTGGCGGCACCCTTGTCCTTGGTTAACCTGTCCAGTATTTCTCCGCAGAAATAAACGAATGTCAAGATCAGGAACCTAGGTGTCACGTGAACGCTCAGTGTAACGACACTGTTGGTTCATTCTACTGTACTTGTATTCAAGGATATTCAGGAGATGGTTCAAATTGTCTGGGTGTGAATGATCATTCAATAACATCAGTTTAAACTCTTGATCAATAATGACTTTTTAAAACATAAACAAGCAAATATTAAGGTAACAATCAAACCATAAACCATGCTGTATTTTATAATATGATTCTTTATCTAAGAAAGTATGTGTAATATTTTTAGAACATTGATAAACCGACACTCGTCGCCTTGTTCACTTACTTTTTGTTTGCACTTGAGACACAGTGAGGTAGCATAGTAAACAGCTACAGGAACATTGAAACAACTTTTCTTTATCTACATCTGAATCATTTTAAGTTAGCAATGTCCGATAGAATGTCACCTAAGCAGTCGACTCACTGAGTGTTATTTCTCTGCAGATGTGGATGAATGTCAAGATAACAACCACAACTGTCATGTCAAAGCCCAGTGTAACAACACGAAAGGTTCATTCAACTGTACTTGTCTTCAAGGATATTCAGGAGATGGTGTGAACTGTTCGGGTATGATTTATCCTAGCTGAACAAACTACATTTTGTACGCATTCTTAAGACAATGGCCAGTGGCCATGTAAATGCAAGTGCAGTGTTTTGGGCTTACCGTGCGATAGCTCTCATACATTACTATACTTGAATTATATTAATAGCAAAAAATGTTTTAACAGATATCGATGAATGTACAGCAGCAACTCACAACTGCCATGGAGTGGCTAACTGTTACAACAATGAAGGTTCTTTTATCTGCCAGTGTCGGGATAGTTACACTGGTGATGGAATATTAAACTGTGACCCTATTGGTGAGTGGGATAATTTTTCAAGGTTTTTAAGGCGTTCACATATTCACACGCTTCACCTCAATGCTAGGAGAAGCAGGAGGTGATTGCAGTCCTCCCGCAAAATGGCAGAAATATTATAAGCATCGCTTGCCTTTGATACTTCAAAGTAAGGCTATGACAAGTTGAAGTTTCCCTTAAATAACTTACATGCGTAAGGTTTTGAGGGTAATGTTTTGAAAACTTCATTTTTCTCTGAACCATAAAATGAAGACACCATGGATTACCTGGAAATCAGTTCCTTTACTTCTTTGGTCAATTTTAATTGTCAGGAGACTTCTCAGTAACCATTAAAAACATCTCAAAGGACAAGTACCATGCAAGTGTTGTTGAGCGGTCTGTGAAAAGTGTCCAAGAAGCGATAATCCAAGGTCTACAAAGTGATGTTGCTGTGTTGTCAAGCAACTTGGAATGGCGCATCATTAGTGAAACAGAACTCACAGCATCAGAGTCAACAGAGGGAGAACTAGTAAGCCAAGGGACAACTGAGTGGACCATAAACAGGAGATCCATTCCTGCTGGCATCTATCAAGTCAAGTTTAATGCTTTATTTACAGTCGGTGATCCGGAGTTCCCACAGACTCTTAGTGCCTTTGACTTTGGCTTTATTGAGGTCATTGCAGCCCCAGTGCGAGCCATTATTGACGGAGGAAGTAGTGTTCGCTGGGGTTCTGTGGAAATTGTTACCGTGAATGGTTCGTTCAGTTATGATGGAGACATTGGCCCTGGAAATCACTGTGGCTTAAATTTCGCCTGGTCATGCCTTCATTCGGAAGACAATGCTTCTTTGAGTAATGATTGTTTCGGTGCTTTTGGACACGTAAACGCGTCCACTGTTATTAGCATCGATCCTGGCCAGCTTGAAGTTGGAAAAACATATATTTTAAGGCTAACTGTTTCAAAAGATGACAGAAGCTCCACTGCCGAGATGTCTTTTGATATAGCAGAGGGAGAGGTACCCCAAGCGACTCTAAGGTACATACTACCGTGACTTTTAATTGAAGGGTATCTCGGGGCTTTGAAACAAAAAAGGTTTCATTACCGTGCATTGAACGCACTGCCAACAAGTTACACAGAAACACTTTACTGTTATACCAATCTCAAGGAGAAATAAAAATACTAGTGGGTTTAAACCAAACCAATTTCATGTGTTATGTTCTTTTTCAGATGCTTTGTAGACTGTGGCGCAGTAGTATCGGCTTCGAACAAGCTCCGAGTGACTTCAGAATGCCTTAATTCCCCTTGCAATGGCTCAGTTTATCAATGGCGATTAAAAAGATTGAATGACAATTCCGCCACGTGGGAAGATGTACCTATTCTACCTAACATGACTTCAACTGCTGTGAATGCGACCAATATGATTATCGAGAAGAACTCATTGCAGTCTAAAACGAAATACAGCTTATTGCTCTATGTAATATCTCTAGAAGGAACAGAAGGTTTTTCCGTGCTCGAGTTTGAGACAGCTGGAGCACCGCACAGCGGGTACTGCACACCATCAGTTCATGAAGGCGTGTCTCTTCAAACAGTGTTTACTTTCAAGTGTTTCGATTGGCAAGATACAAGCTCACCACTAAATTATGAATTTCAACTTGGAGAGGAGCCAATATCTTACGGAAGCTCTCCCAAATCTGCACCTACAGTTTTACCAGCGGGATCTCAACAAGATGATTACCAGTTGCAAATTAACATTGTTGTCAAGAATGCTGTTGGTGTTGCGGTTGTAGTGAGTCTTCTTGTTAAGGTATCCAGATGACTTTCAACTTTTTTTTTTTGTTAATTCGTTTTTTGCTATTTACAAAAGGACGTTTTACGATAACTGTAGAAATTCTCGCGTGCTCATTGGCTACTTTTCATCGTCAATAAAAGTACAGACGTATGAATTTATAATTCATGCGATGCGTCAACGAATGAGAGCGGACAACTTGACAATTTGTTATTGTAAAAAAACAAATTGACGTCAGTTTGAAGTTAGAGTAACACTGGAAGTCTGCGGATAGTTATCGTAACACTGGTAGTCTGCGGACCCAGCCACTTTGATAATGTTATGACGAAAGCCATGATCAATAACAGGACAGACGCATGAAAAACTGATGTCAGTTTGTTAAACTGAAAAGCACATCAGTCTCCAGTATCTCGCAGTATTCGAGAAGCTATTTTTGAAAACTTAATTTAAACGTTGTAAAAGCCGTTTGTTATCCAACTCCACCTTCTTAATCATTTTTTTTTTCTAATTTAGCCTGAATATGCAAAGTGAATTAAGTCAGAATTTAGTAGTGATTATTATGGATTTGTGATTGAAATGTAATTGTCAGCTGATCAGTGGATGTATGCATCTGCAGGTGAAGCCATCTTCCGCCCTGGATCCTTGTCTTTTACCGATAGATAAAGTTGCCACCAAGTTAAAAAGCTACTTGCTCGGGGATGGCAATAAGCTGGACGAGTTCCTTAACAAAGGTGAACTCAGCCAGGCTGTCCAGCTTTCCCGATCTGTCCTCAAGTCTGTCAACGAGAAAAATGATTGTGGACAAACACATAATTCAAATTTGCAAAGACTGGTATGTAAATAGACAATAATAAAGAGATAAAAGCACTTTATCTGCTCGATGTATAACCTATTACCTTTATAGGCTAAATTACTCGACACTATACCATACCAGTAAAGTATTTTCAAAGAATTTCCTCGAATACTAACATACAAAAAATGTGTTAATGGAGTAAATGTATGTGTGCTTGAATTTCTACTGTCAGACTCGACATCTTCCGTACCAGGTAACACATCCCTAAGTTAAAAAAACTCGTCTGTGTGCTACTCGTATATCGAATAACATGAGTGTTACAGTAACTACATCTACCTTGCCAGTGTAACAAAACTTTTATGCTAGCTGCTACATTTTACCAATGTTGATACAATTTGTAAGCTGGACATACTAAGGGTCGGAACATGGATGCCTTAATCACGAGTATGCAGGTGGTTAGTGATAGATATAAGAACTCAAAGGTCAATTTAAACACAACACAGTGAAGTCATTCCAGTTTTTCTTAAAATTGATGATGTTGTTTTCTCCAAATTCTAGATTTCAAGAACATTAATTGAAAAGTTTACAGCTATATCGCCTGAGAACCTGGATATGTCTCGCTTGATTATGTCCGTAGTGAACTTGGCGATGAGTAGCGAACAACGTCAAGCGAGTGGCAGTGGCAGCAACAGTAACAGTAATAGTATAGTAAGTAAAATCTACTAAATCTGAGTTCACGTTATGTCTCACCTATATCTTTATCTATATCCGTATCTATCCAACCCTTCGTTCGTCTGTTTCTGTCTGTCCATGGGCCTGTCTGCCTGTCTTTCTGTCCCTCTTTCGTGTCCATCTGTCCGTTGTTCTGTCTCTTAAACTAATGTCCAGTAGTTATTTGTGTATTAGTATATGGCCGAGAGAATACTCCAAAAGCTGATTTTCTTTAATTAAAGTTTTACCAAAGAGAATGGTAGAATGAATTTCTACAATAAACATTACGAAATGAAATATCCCAAGATAGAAGACTTAGACCAATAGTACAACGGAGTGCTTGATCATGATAAATTCTTACGTAGTGCAAGGCAATGAAACTATTATAACTGTGTTCACATGTAGTCACACCACTTTCCTTAGAGACAAAATACATCTCATCCACCGTCCATTTCTATTACGTTAACCCAATCTCCCCACCAGCCTTTTACAAACTTCATACATCAACGGATATTCACCTTTCTTGGATGCTTCTTTTAGATATACGCGTATGCAGGATCTGGGGTTCTAGAGCAAGTCTGGGCAGGATCTAGGAATCTAGAGTTTGAAATTAAAGGGTTGAATTCTACCTTCCCGCAAATTTTATTAAAGAATAGATCCTAATTAGTATATAATCTTGGAGTTTAATTCTTATTTTTCCCCTTGGATCTCGTTTCGATGAAAAAGATATAACAAAACCTAGACAAAGTGTTTCTTTAAATTTCCAAACACCTCCAAGGTCGCCTAAAAATACTCCCATTTACGTCGTATTTTCTACTGCAAATCTCTTTTTGGTGGTTGGAAATGCGATGAAATACTGTCATATTTTTTATATTACTAACTACACTATTAATGTTCTTTTCTAGGAATTAACAATGCAAATGACAGATAAGGCAGCAAATTTGCTATCTGATGCTCTTTATGATTTAGAAGAGCCATTTTCTCCTGTACTGGAGAAAACAGCTAAGAGTGTTACAGAATGCCTCACGAACGTTCTTCAGTCGGCAGCAGGTACAGATCAAGAAAACACAGCTGAAGATGAGAACCAATCATCACAGGTATAACTAATGGAGTTACAGTTAACGAAGTTAGGATTTAAGTAGTCTGGACAATTGTATAACAGCCATATTGACACAGCTGCGTTACAAGAATTGTTTCGATGATATATTGCTCGTGTCTAGTGTGAATTAAGGAACTAAAACTGTAGCCGTGTTAAATTTAACTTGAATCAGCAACTTGCAATTAAGGGAAATATGCCGACAAATATTACTTCTCTTCTTACTGCAGTTCGTGAAAGAAGCTTTGGAAAAATTGAACGGCATGAGCGAGGCATTCTTTACCCGCTTAGTTCCTTCCGAAGATTTAGTCATTACAACAAATAATTTGGCAATATCGTTAAAGAAGGTCTCCACTCACGATGTGAAGGGACTCAGTATGGAAAACGGAGCAACAAAATTTAAGCTACCTGCTAACGTAGGAGATATGGGTGGTGGAAATATCAATGTAAAGGTAAGAAGACCATTATTGCCGTTCAGAGTCTTGTGATAACAATCCTAATACGTTTTATCTGAATCGATCAAAGGAATGTGCCTATTTTTTTAACTTAATATGGTTGATACTTTCCACTCCCTCTGGGTGGCATCTGTTTGGTCTATTTTCAGCCTCAACCAGGAAAGACCTAAAAAGATTGTTGCGTTCTTGCGATTATGTTATGGTTAATATTTCATTAACAGTTAGGTTATGTTCTTAGGTGTCCAAAGAATCAACTGACAATAGCACGTGGCTTACTCTGTTGAGAAACACTTTTTTTTTGACGCAGAAATTATCTATGTTTTTTCATTATACCTTATTAGAAATTCACGTTGATCTTCAGTCGTATTTTTGACTTTGCTTGACTATCTTTCTCTTTTCACCGGAGGCTCATCACCTAAATTTGTGTACACGATCGGCACGATCGTGACTTACAAGCCTGCAGCATCTTGTAATGAAATCTATTTGCACGTAAGAGTTGAGGAAGTAGTGCTTATAGGGCCGCATCAACAACTTCCTGTTAGAGACCTTAACGGTAAGATACTATCGCGAGAAAAAAGTATTCCGCACCTAGAACAGGAAGCTCACAAGCGGAGTTCCTTGGATCTTTTTATAGCTATATAGAAAATGAAATATGATAGTCAGATCTTAAAATCTTAAACTAAAGGAAGTCTTTAACCCTTTGAGCCTGCATTAACCATAATAAACCTCAAATATAGAGGATTCATGACTCGAATACCTCTGTGGGCTTCCTTTTCAGATGCAAGCTGTTGACTTCAATCCTTTCACTTGGGACAACAGCAGCAAGAAGATCAAATCAAGTGTGACCAGTCTGGATCTTCAAAGCGCTAATGGAGAAAAGATCAATGTGTCAAACCTTGAAAATTACATTGAGATAGTTATTCCGATTTCGAGTTCACCGCCAAACACCAGCGTCGGAACTGATCATTATTTCCTAAAGCCAAACAAATTGTCTTTCCATAGTTATTACGCGGAAATAGCAGATGTCCCCGTTTCTATCAAAATTGGAGCGGAAAAACAAGGGATAGTTATTGAAATATTTTTGAAATTTGGAGCAAGACCTACGATTGAGTACTCTGATCACAACTTTACTGTTACATCAACATGTAAAAACCAAACAGATGACAAACAAAACGAAACATCCTGCCTTCTAGAAGAGAGTTCTTTAACAGTGGTGCCCTCGGAACCAAGTCGTCTTTATATCGGTCTGTTGTTCCTGGGAGCTAAAAGTGTCAACGAACATTCCAGAAGACGAAGATCAGCGTGTCTTGGTCATGGTCGTGAAAGACGGTCGTGTGTTGATTTCAAAGATCCGCCACCCAAAGGAGTTACTGAAACAGTTATTCCCCAGTATGATCCCTCAACAGATGTCAACTACACCATAAGTATTAGCCAGTCAAGTTGTTTGTATTGGTCTGAAGAAAAAGAGAAGTGGACCTCAGACGGCTGCAAGGTAAACTAAATTGATTTCAGCGTGACTAAACTTGGAAGGTGAAAACACACCTCCTTTAAAGTTGATGGTTATTTAAATTAAAGAACCCGTGAGGGAGTTAAGGGAGTCAAGGCCGAGCACTCAAAGTTGAACTTTCACCTTGAATGCATATTGGCCACATTTTGGTAGTCAGTACGAGAGTACAATTGCAAACAGCCTTTGTTTGCGGATTGTTACAATTCCAAGATTTAATTCAATATCTGCATGAATCGTCTTCCTGAATGTTTTAATTCAGAATTTAAGAACAGCTCTTTACTCAAAAGACAGAGAAATTGGGAAGCTACCTTTAGATCAATGAATATAGTCCTTGCAAAAGATAAAACATGAGTTCACAGCAGGCCGAACAATACGTGTGGAGTTTAATCATGAATGAAACATGTTTCTCAACGAAAGGTGTACACATTCTGCTCTGGCGAAAATGATCGAAACATGTTTATTTCGATCATGATTGCAACTATTTAGTATCTCTATATCTCAGATGAAGCACGTTAACCATGAAGGCCGAGAGCGAGGGGAAAGCAGAGCCCAAAGGGCTTCACAATTGCCGCTCCAAATGCCGCTCCACTCATTTGCCGAACCTAACTGATGAGTTAGGTACAATGGGCGATTTTATTTAACCATTGTTACTACAAAAGTAATAGTAGACATTAATTTTATTGGCTCTTTTAGTTTGACTATTCAATGCTAATCATGTTACTCAGTGAGAGTGAGAACGCAGTTTAAGTTCACTAACGTGCATAGAAACGAACCACAAGCAGGCAAAAGAATAACTTAACGTTTCTCTTTATTTTTCTCAAATCGATACTGACTTCCTCCGTAGGTTGACCCTAGCTCAAACACCTCCCATCTCAAATGTCTGTGCAACCATTTGACTTCATTTGGCGGAAACTTCATTCAAGCATCAAATCCCATTGATTTTGACAAGGTTTTCACTGAGTTTACGCGGCTTGGTGAAACAGGCAATATTTCGGTACTTGTAACAATTGCATGTACTTTTCTACTGTACTTCATTGTGCTAATCTTCGCGAAGAGGGCAGACAGGAGAGACGAAAATAAGGTGTGTTGTTGCTTACGTGAGATTTACATGCTTATCAATACTTTTACCTAATCGTACCCTTTTGGCATGCTTAAGCGGCATATCAGGTAAATTTGTCCCGAAAAGGTTCAGATTTTGGCGAATACTCAAGGAGAGACCAAACGAGTCTGATAAGCCACCAAAGTGTACCAGATACAGTTGAGCGTGTGAGGTGATCCACAAATCCGGCCATATCAAATCAGTGACTTGATATTGTAGATTATCAGGACAGTAAACAAAGCTTCTGATTGGTTACATGCCAATTTCAGCTTGGTGACGCGCGAAATCATTTTTTCCCGAGACGACTGTTTTTTTTTTCCTTATAGAACAAGTAGTTGTACACCAACCGTTGTAATTGTAAAAATCAAATTAGCAATGAAATTAAAGACTTTGTTACTCCCAAAAAGGAAAATATTCATTCATTATGGCAAATATGTGGCATTTTGCAATGATGTTCACGTCATTACGGTTAAACTGTAAGTCGCTGGCTTCAGACTACATGTATCGTTTAAAGTGATTTACCTCTCTGACGCTTTTTGCCAAAACTGGACGCTTCTCACGTTCTTTCAAAACAATCAAATTTGCCGAACGCAAATTCAATTTTTATGTCGGGATAACATTTGGCTGGGAATCAGTGCAAAGTTTTTTTTCATTATTAGTAATTCATACGAACTAGTAGAGTCTCACAACACCCTATTCGGGATTATCCAACCTCGCAAAAGCGAATTTGAAATGGTAACGGCTCTCCTGATATGGACCTTATACTGGTTGAAAACACATATTTATAATGTCTGCAATATTTACGGTAGATTTGCCCTCCCAGACATGTATCCATCACTGAAGAAGGAAACTACTTTTACGACATGGTTATTAGCACTGGAGTGTGGAAACATTCCGGAACAACAGCCAATGTAACAATGAACATTAAAGGTGAAATAGATGAACACTCCCTTATACCACTACGAAGTAAAGGAGAGGCAAGTGAAATATTTGCACGGGGAAGTATTAATGGCTTTGTTTTAACCGTAAGGGAATCCTTTGGAACTTTAAAAGAAATAACTTTGGAACACGACAATTCAGGAGATAATCCATCTTGGTTTGTAGAAACAGTAGTAATCAGAGACAGGCAGACTGAAGAACAGTGGGCGTTTCCGATAAACAGATGGCTTGCGCTGGAAAAAGACGATGGACAGGTAGAAGTTACTGTAGATAGCCAAAGTCCTACTTCTTTTTCAGCTCAGGTGCGTTCGCGATTTGGAAGAAAGATTGCCGACGGTCACCTGTGGATGTCAGTGTTTGGTAAAGCATGTAGCAGTACTTTCACCCGTGTACAAAGAGCCTCGTGTTGTCTTTCGGTGCTGTTCAGCGCCATGATTGCTAATGCTATGTTTTATAACATTGATGGAGAGTCAGATGGAGCTATACAGATTGGTCCATTTAAGTTTTCTTGGAGGCAGGTTGTCGTGGGAGTACAAAGTGGACTGATAGTCGCACCTGTTAACATCCTGATTGTCCTCCTATTTAAGTCTAGTAAACCAGGAAGTAAAAAGGGAGACAAATATAAAGACATTGACCAGGCCCAACGACTCGTGGATGAAGTAAGTGACACTGGCTGCATGTTGCCTCATTTCTGCGTGTACATAGGTTGGTTTCTCTGCTTTGTTACAACTCTTACAGCTGCAACGTTCACGTTATTCTACAGCTTAGTGTGGGGTAAAGAAATTGCTGAGCAATGGCTTGCTTCAATTTTTATTTCGAATGGACAAGATATTTTTGTTGTACAACCAACAAAGGTATTGCTGGCAGTCATTGTAATTTCTTTGCCCTTGAGTAGAAAAAACAAGGACAGTAAAGGAGATTCCAAGGAAGACGGCGAACAAGGTGATTCACATGAACATGAAATCGATTCTCTGAGCGATAATCCCAAACAGCGGTTTAAGCAATATCAGATGGAGAAGATGCGTGAACGATTCAAAAAGGAGGCTCAACTGACGGTCATGGTGAAGGACATTGTCATTCACTTAATATTTATGTTCTTCTTGGCTATCGTTTGTTATGGAAACAAGAATGTAAATCGTTTCCTGATGACAACAGAGATGAGAAATCAATTCACGAAGTTTGATAAGGTAAGATTCCACTGTTGGTACGGTAGGTATTATCTCATTACAACTGGATTTTTGACCTTTTAGATCACACTGATGCCGTCTTCCTCTTTAGGCGAACCTGGATTGCAATTTTGCTTTGTGTAACAGCAAAGAATGAATAAAAAGTCAAAATAATTAATAAACGTTAATTTATATTTATTATATGGCGTATTTTCTTTAAAATATCCAAATACGGATTTACATAAATTAAATATCTACAAGGGCTACCGCCTTAGAGCGGTTTTTAATTGAGTGCCGTCAAACCAAAACCAAACCAGCTTCTTCCCAATTAGACTACTCAGCCAATCTCAAATTAAACCGTAAAAAAACCAAACCCAAAGTTATTTCCTGACTACTTTCGACACTCAATGGAAACCCTCTCTATTTGTTATCAACGCCTAGCAAAGAGCTGACGTCATATGGTGGTGATTTGAAGATTCCCTTTGCACAAATATCTAAGGACATTTGCCAACAAGAAGACTAACGACATGTCACAATTAACTCTACTAAGTAAGAGACGGAGATGTTAGAGCTGAACTTCAGTGGAACTCATTTTCAGGTAACCGACTTACACAAGCTATCTAGATGGTTGAGGCAGCAGTTCCTTTCTAAAATTTACAACCAGCCGTGGTACAATGGGCTTGAAGAGAAAGAAGACGTGTACATCGCGAACAAGATTTCCATATTGATCGGCATGCCGTGGTTACGACAACTGAGAATAAAAAAGAGTAAGTTCGTACGGTGAATTCAATCACTTTCAATGTACAACCATCTTTCTTTTTACCCCTTAGCAGCATCCCAAATCAAACTAATCTTCTTTCTCAGCGTTAACTCCACAGAAATCGGACTTATTTTATAATTTCACGTTCAAACAAGTTAATTTGACTAAAGTGATGGCTGAAAGCAGTTAAATCAGTTCTCTTTACCCTTATTGTCAAGAACTGATTTTGAATTCTTTAAGGACTATTCAATAACATATATCGGTGTACTAATTTCAATGTAACAGTTTTCAAAGTTGCATCAGAATATTTCCCTCAAAATTCAGCGAACCGTTGACATCAGCAAAAGAGCCTTTTTCGCTGCAATATTCCCTAAACAGCGTTGTCTGATCGTAAGGTATGCCTGAAGAATAACAATTATTTCCCATAAAGCTATGTCGATAATCCCACTATAAATGCAACAACCAATACTTTAGAGAAAAATCAAATATTTCTAGTCCGAGGTTTTGTGACAGGTATTATTCAGTATTATTTAGTTATTTATTTAGTCAATAAGAGGCGACTTCAATCACATGAAAATCATCTAAAAACGCAAAACCAGGGAATGTTTTTGTGCCATTTGTAAGGAGTTGCCATGGAATCACAGAAGGAACTTGAACCTCCTTTAAAAATACTGTTACAATATCAAGACTGATATAAGCACGTGCCATAGCGTTTAGTGTATCAGCCGGATTAGTTTCATTTCAAATAAATTAACGGTAATTTTACTGACATTTAGTGGCTTATATTTCATTATTTTGAAGGCTCTTGCGGAACACTCTCTAATATCATCTCAGACTGTTACTACGACTATTCTCAAGAGGACGAGGACACTACCATGCTGAGTCTCCCAGGATGGAAAACTCTCCCCTACAATATATCATGGCCAAAAGCTCTGCGAATGTGTCCAAAGCCTTGGCGTTACCAGCAAGCTAAAGAACTAGACAATGACCCGGTAAAAGCTTCATTCAATACATATGGAGGGGGTGGCTATGCTGCATTACTGGGATATGACGAAAACACAGCCTCTAGCGTCCTAAGGGAGACTATTGGCCATGGATGGCTTGATCGACAGACTCGAGCGGTGATTTTAGAGTTCGAAGTGTTCAACGTGAATACAAACTTAATCAGCATTGCTACGTACTTTTTCGAAGTACTATCAACTGGTGCTTCGTACACAACAAGGAGGATTCAGACACTCGAGTTGTACAGTACGGAGTCAGGAGCTCTGATGTTTTATCTCATTTGCCAGTTTCTGTTCATGGCCATGGTGTTATATTTTTTCATCATGATGTTGACTCACCTTTACCGACATCGCCTTGGATTTTTCAAGTCTGTTTGGAATATGGTGGACCTCTTAATGATTATATCTTCTATAGCGTCTGTAGCATTCTACATGATCAGATCAAAGAATGTTCTGAAGAGCATCAAAGACATCCAAGCTAATCCTTATGAAATTGTCCATTTTCACTCTGCCCTATCTTGGGCCAACTGGGAAAATGCCTCAACTGCTGTCGCGATTTTTATGGTAACACTGAAGCTTTTAAATCTCATTCGTTTCAACCCTCACGTCATTTTCTTATTTTTATCTCTCCGTCAGTCGGTAGGTTACCAACTGTCCTACGTAGGGTTCTTCCTGATCGTATTTAATGCTTTTGTTATATCAGGGATGCAGCTTTTCGGTGGTATAGTGCTTGAGTACTCGACCTACATGCAAGCAGTCATTTCGCAGTTTGAATTTCTCCTAGGAAAAGCTGTCCCAGTCCAAGACCTTCGAAACGAGAAGCCATTCATTGGCCCAACGTTTGCTTTCTTGTACATGTTATCCACCACTGTATTTCTCATGAATATGTTAGTTTCTGTACTAAATGAGTCCTATTCTGACGCAAAGACACATGCAGAGGAAAGTGCTAAAGAGCTTGAGATGGCACACTTTATTGAAGAACGTTTCATGGACATGTTCCAAAAAAGTAAAAGGCAAACTGAATTCAAGTTATTTTGTGACGACACCACTTTTGTTAACATGTGCCGTTCGGATGCAGAACCTTTCTGTTTGAATTCTGAAAGTATTATTCAATGTACCGAGGAAAGAATGAAAAAGGTGGAGAAACGACTCAATGTCCTTACCCGACGAACTGAAAATTTTGAGAGTGATCATCTGAGAGAGGAAGCTGAGTTTCAGGACCTCTTTTACTTGCTTGCTAATCCTTCTGACCACCGAACAAACCATTCATGCACCAAAAATGACTCTTTAGCTCCTGCCCTTTAGGTACACTGTATACTCAGACAGTTTTAATATACCCTTCTAAGTAGATACTTCCTCAGAATGATTTCAGAATCTTATACTGTAGAACATAGAGATATAAGCATTTTTATCTGTGAAGATGCACCGGCTACGACACCTGGTTCATCACCTGGCGTGGTGAATGTGGTGATTAGCAACCTAGCAACATTTGCTATTAAACTAAAGCAGCTGGTAGCGGTTTCCAGCTCTTTAAACACTTGTACCTCGGTGGATGATACTACAACTCTTAATTAGTAGAAGCTACAGTTAGGATATCAAAGGAACGTGTAATGCAATCATTCGGAGGGTCGAGTCGGTAATAGGACGAGCGAGGCTGGTAACTCTTTAGTCAGCCTGACAAGTGTTACTGTCATTTTTATTTCCAAGTTATTTTATCGCTATGGTATCCTCTTATTCTTCTAGTCTGCTCCATATCTTATTGATCTCAGAATTACCTCAGCTTTTAAAGTAATAAACCATTCATTTATGGTTATATTTGTGTCGGTGATGTGCGTGTTTACACATTTTGCACTATTACGTTAAGATGGATCGGAGCTTATACGGAACATGTTTTCGGTATCCGAAAATAAATATCCCCTGCCCCACAAACAAACTACACCGTCTAAATACTTCGAAGAGTTGCTATTTTCGTGTAGCCTGCGAACGCAGACGTATTACCTTGGCTACACTATGGAAGCACACTTTTACTCTTGGAAAATAAAAGTTTGGTTTGAATTAAGTATTCCTGCGTGGGGAAATTAATGGATATTTTTTCATAAAACACATGAAGAATCCTCAGAAACCTGTTAAATTATGGCTTTTCTATCTTCCATGTGATTGTGCTACTGATAGCACTAAAAAAATGTTTTACAATGTTTTAAGTTTGAAAGACATGCTTCGAAGAAAAAAGTCTTTCGTTGTCAGTTACACTTTGTATTAAATTAGAATAATTAGCAGATAAAAAACCGTCGGCTGTGCTCTGTTCTGTTTTAAGCCTCGCAGGAAGCGCCTAGAGCATGAAAGAAGTGTAGGGGAAAACACGAGACGTAGTCGAGTGTTTCTCGTTACTTCTTGAGTGCTCCACCGCTTCCTAACAAACTTCTTTATTTGTTTTATGATAAAGAATCCATTAATTTCTCCACGCAATAAAACTAATATTTCCAAACCAAACGTTAGTTTTTCAAAAAAGTAAAACTGGCGTAAGCGTGCATCTGTACTCCCATAAAGCAGGCTAAAATGTGCCAATCGCAATCCTTTTTAGAATTTTTCAAACAATCAGTGATTTGATTGGCTAACAAGATAAAATCTATCAATCACAAACTGGACTGTGAAGTATATATCAAATAATTTATATTTGAACTGCGGTTGTAGATGAAAGTGAAGAATGATCATCGCAGTAAATTTTCCAATTTAAGCAATTGGAAACAAGACGCCCGAAAAAAATCAGGACTTCAACGGGATTCCAACCCGTGACCTCCGCGATACCGGTGCGATGCTCCACCAACTGAGCTATGAAGTCACACATTGGGAGCGAGGTCAATTAATTGAGTTCACATCCTCCCGTGAGGAGTGCAATGATGTGAAGTATATGAAATAATTCATATTTGAACTGCTGTTGTAGATGAAAGTGAAGAATGATCATCGCAGTAAATTTTCCAATTTAAGCAACTGGAAAGAAGAATCCCGTTGAAGTCCTGATTTTTTTCAGGCTTCTTCTCTCCGATTGCTTAAATTGGAAAATTTACTGCGATGATTATTCTTCACTTTCACAAACTGGACTGCAGCCAAACTTTCGGTTTCGATTGGCTTTCGAGGAAATAACGATCGATCCAAAGTTCGCTTTTTAGTTTAAAAAAAAAGATAAGAAGTTTCTTGTCCAGTGGAATCCGACCGCATTGTGGCACACGAAAATGTGCAATTTTCTAATGGAAATTACGAAAGCATTCAATTGATCACTCGTCGGGTTAGCGCTGTAATTGTTGGGTCACTTCATCATCATCTGAGAGGGCCAGAGATCGCTATTTAGCGATCGAGCGTTACTACACTCCATGTAACTGTTGTTCGAACATTTCACAAAGTTTGTCATCACAAATACAGACATAAATTCATTGGTGTTTTCTGTCGCAATATGTCGTTCATCGGGGCATTCGATATATTGACATTTTTTTATTCACCGCGTGAACACCGTTTCGTTGGAATCTAGATAAACTTGTAATTTAGTACAGTTGTTAACAATGGCGTTCCGATTGCGTTTGTCTGAGTCATAGGGGACGTTTAATCCGGGTCAAATTCGTCAAAATCCATACTTACCATCAATCTATTCTCTGATAAAGCACGCTTTTTCAACCAATCTGAACGGGCGTTATATCGAAACTTTATTATAAGGTTGAGTTATATACAGATTTTTGGCAATATGTGTTACTTTTAAATTGAAACAAATTGCATAACTAGAATAAATGCAAGCTTATCAGACTGCAAAAAAAAAAAAAAAAAAAAAAACGGCCAGTAAAAACGGACATACACAGCAAAACAACTGCCCGCATCAAGGTCACATGACTTATACCCAGGCCCCTGTGGTGTGCGAGAAACACTGATTTTCCACTCACTTTGTAGCTTGCGAGAGCATTCGGTTTTTTCGGCTCTCGTGAAACAAGAGCCGAAAAAACCCGATGGTCCCGGAGGCTACTCACTTCGTTGCACTAGACCAGTGGAAAGTTACCCTTGGAGTGACACAGACTTCTCCAAACACAATCATCATTGACGAACCTTTTATTTCATTACTAAACTAAACTTATTCTTTAACACCTTTACTGCCCAGCACTTCCTGTGTCTCTCATGGACCATCAAATAAGAAGTTCAGAACCATGACGGGCATTTTTCTCTTCTCAGACAGTGATCCATGAACGAAGCAGAAATTACTTCAGTCTTTTTTACTGTCTCGTCGAAACTACTTAAAGGAGCTCAGTCACAGTGTTTTGTCTTTCCTTTTTTTTGGCCACGTACAAAATCTCCTTTAAATGGAAGGAAACCTGAAAATAATAGTTCACTACCACAGAAAAACATCAAAGAGATAATAATAAACCATAAAGGAACAAGGATGGTCAAGGATGGCGAGGATTGACACAGATTGCAAACGACGAGTATGAAAAATTTAGGCTAAACTTTTCAAAATGTGCAAACCGTGACTGAGCTCCATTGAAACAATTCTCGACAAACTGTACAACACATCTAATAAAATGATCTCTGTCAAACTAGATCCACGCCAATATTATTATGCTAAATGCTGATTAAAAGTTTCTGATAATTGTGGCTGTGTATATCTCTAGTTTGTGTTCGGGGATAAAGGGGGTTCAGAGGAGGGTGGGTCTTGTTTCAAATCAAAGAATGAAGCGTAAATGAAAATCTATAGACAAATATTGGAGCTTTTGCGAAATGTGCAATGTTGAAAGTCGTTTCACATGGAATAAATATATTGAATTCTCATTGTTGGTGTCGAAGGAGTCGTTGCTAGATTACAGGACAGAAAGTAAATCACCATAAATAGTCTTCAAGTCAAACCTGAAAATTTCAAGGTCAACTTACAAATTTCCCTTACTGAATTCTAAAGAATTCCAACGCTACTGCTTAGGAGAATGTGTACTAATCGATACTAAGTTGGGTATTACACAAAACTAGTATTCTAACATTCAGCTCTCTAACCAAACTTCTCCGCGTTAGCTTGGTTGTCACGCTGCTTTGGAGAATTTCGTTTTCCGTCATGTAGTTTCACAGGTTGTTCATTTTCACTAGTTACTATTTGCAAAGAATTAATGAAGGGTCAGCTGGGATGCCCCTGGATAAAGGCGAACGCAGAAATCAGCACTTCCTCATTTTAACAATCGACTAGACAGCCAATGTATCTTATTCTTACCTACACTCTGTTTTTTATAAGAATATCGAGGCTGAAATTTGTGAAATTTTTAAGAATATTTGAAGAAACCCGAGGATGAGATTTTGAGAACATAATTTTGTGTGCCGAAAATTTGTAAGTAGAGTACATTATATGTTTTTAACTAAACGGTACAAAATTCTTGAAATCTCTCAACGGCAAAACTAGCCAAGAAGCAACAAAAACAGCATTAGCCATATGTTCATTGCTATTATCATTTCTGCAAGAAGTTGTGTACGTCACATCAGGCCTCATTTCTTGCAGTCTAGGCCAAGATTACTTGAACACCATCGAAGTCAATAAAACGGATATGTCATACGCTATAATCTAAAAATATTGACAAGAATATTTTCAGCCTAAGATCGGCAGAAAAATAAACATATTCAGCCTGGGCCGGAAAAACAGTATTCTCATATATAAAAAAAGAGTGTAATGCTATCGCTACAGAAAAGACAACATTTTGGAGAATAGTTCGATTGTACTAACGAAAACAAGACTGCTTTGCAGGGAGAAATGTCCTGGGTCCTTGAATAATTTTTCAATTGTATGAAAAGAATGATTCGATTGATTAACTACTTTTTAGCAGATGTTATCTTTGCAGCACATTTTTTCGTCCTGTGGACGGTGATCCTCGGTTCATTCTAAGTTCGTTCACTCTTCTCCACAAGTCATCCAAGCTTCTGCCAACGTCTCCTATCGCACTGAGATTCTTTAAGCTTTCCTTGAAGAACGCCAGATCGGATGTGACAAGTCTACATTTAAAAATAATAATTATAATGTCAGACAGGCAGCGTTCACACTACGCCGGAGAAAATTGAAAGCGCAGCTCTATTTATACAGTTAGGCCTACCGTCCACACGAATACGTCGCGAAAACGGAGTTTTTCGAAAGCGCTCTTCAAACCGGAGGAATTTGAAAACGCCGGCTATTTGTTCTCGTTTGCGCGGGAAATATTGGAAAACGGAGCTTTTCGAGAAAGATGACGTCATGATAATCATGACGTCATCGCTCTGACCGAGTTTTCCTCAAACACAAATCCAAAATGACCGGTGATTATTGCGTTTTTAAATTCCTCTGGCATAGCGTGGACGATAAATATTTGATGCGTCTTCAGAGTGAAACCTCCTTTTACAAATTCCTCCAGCGGGAGGGCGGGGTCTTATTTTACTATAGGAGGAAGACCGAAATCAACCTTCATATTTCTCTTCCACGCACGTAAGCACGCCGGGCACGAAAGCAAGCGCGGAAAGCACGATAGGTTATACAGTGATGCTAGTCGCGAAAACTGGAACAGTAACTTACGCAGACCGGTCTTCACTTAGGGTCACTTAGCGTGTTGTTTTTTCCACCCATGGTCTGCTGTTGTTGACACAAAAAAGAAGTTTTCAACAGTGAACACACCCCAAAACAAACAGCTTAGGCAAACAGTCTGGGCCGGGTTGTTCAAAGCCCGATTAAGATAACCCGGGATTAGCGAGGATTTTGATTTCAGTTTTGTATTTTTTTGGTGAGGTTTTCTGTTTATATTGTTTGTCCGTCAGTTTTGAGTTTTAAGAATATCAAACTACACAAAACAAAAGCAGTTTACACAAGAAAAATTAATACTTCGATTAACTTTAAATCCTGGGTCAGCGCTACCCGGCTTTCGAACAAGGGGAACAAAAGTTAAATATCGCCGGAAATTCACCACCTACCCGTGCTGTGGGCCGCCATCATTCGTCACTCCTAGCTTGTCCAACTTATGTGCTAGACTTTCCTTAAAAGCTCGTTTGATGTCTCTGAATATAGACTGAAAACAGAAATGTCACTTGAATTGGCGTGCGAAATAAAATATAGTAAAAGTAAGAGTGGAATGACCAAGAAAATGATTAACAACATTACAAGTGAAGCCCCTTTCCAATAATCTATGTGCTCAGGTGTAATTTTCAACGCTCATTTGGGTATACAAGTTGCTTGAAACATTTGTTTCGTATTTCTCGAACCAAATATAACGCGTGACGATAAATTCCTATTGAGTATCAACTAAATTCCCTCAAAGTAAAATCAGGAAATGACCTCCCAAGTAAAAAGGTATATTTTGCACACACCCACCCGAACACCACAAGCTCGGTACATTCTTCCATGAGTTGCGACATCCTTTTTTTTAGGAAACACGTTTAGTAAGTTACCTCAACTTGAGTTTCCGGTAAGACAAGTGACAGCGACTCGTGGAGTTTGGTGATTTGCTTGACAGCACTACGCATGGCCTGGGACGGCATTGGAGCTTTCACTTCCCACTGTTAAAAATTAAAAGTCAACTAAGCACGTTCAGAAACACTGATAAAATGAAGGGTACATGAGGGAAAATGGCCGACATACCTTTGAAAAAATACTTTTGAATAGTTCTTCCATGAGGTTCACGATTTTGCTAAAGAGTTCCTGACGGTGATTGTTGTAATCCTACACAGAAAATCAGATCAGTAAAAGTACTTGACAACTTATTCCAAAAACAAACTTAAATCACTGCTTTAACCTCTTCAGGGTGCGAAAGCTCTCTGAAGTGCCCCGCGTCATTTACTAGGTCTGATCACAGAGCGAGCGGTCTGGGTTCCAGCCACGACCGGGGCGGGGAGAGGGCGGAGGGCAAGACATTTCGTTCTCATAGTACCTCTCTCCACCCAGGTGTATAAATGGGTACCAGTTAATTGAGACTATCGTATAAAAGGGGGAAAGGCACAGAAACTTAAGATTAACTCCCGGTCCTATCGGCCTTCTGGTTCCTTTTTATCCGTAGGCAATTATTACGGGAAGATTTTAGTAAAAATACATATTGTTTACCTTGAGTATCTGATCAAACTGTGACAACAGGACGTATTGTTTAGGCGGCAGCCTTTGCTCAAAATGTGCTTTGAATACAGGAATATGAATTGTTACCACTTCCAAACAGCGAGCTGCAAGAGCTGTAAAAAAAAACAAAGAACCACAAATTTTCATTAAAGACATAGCCACGACGTAACCATAAGCAGGAGTTAGTGAGGGCAGCCTGAGAATCGATAGAAAGATCGGTACAATATAACAATAAAAAAATAATAAATAGCCTTTATTTTCCCTCGGCAGTGTTTATAGCAATGGGACCCAGAAAACAACTGATATTCAACTGGCCGCAGGCAAACCAGTTGGCTATTTGCAAGTGTGGCCGAGAATTTGAACTCGTGAAACAAATCTAAGTAGTGGTCAAGAGAGGAACTCTAACCCGGGACCGCCGGATCAGTTGCGAGTCCCACGCCCTAACCACTCGGCCACGCTGCCGCCTTTATTATCGCAAATAAGTAGATAAGCATAAGAACGAGAAAAACAGAACCGTGGCCTTAAATGCTTTTGCTCATGCCTCCTTGATGCCTAGAAAAAGACAACATACGTTGAGCGCAAGGTGTCCGTTCTTGCCCTTATGCAAGTTCTTATATCCCTACGGTCCTCATTAACTTATACTTGTGAGTAGAGGAAAGAATCCGCAAACGTGAGGATATAATTTTTTCTACAACTGAGGTACCTAGATGTTTTGCTGTGATCGTCTTTAGTCCAACAAGCTGAAGAGCTCCTGCTCCAAGAACCAATTGACAAGTTCTCGAGTTAAACATCTATAAAACATAACAGAAACAAATGATATACAGGACAGAAAGTCGAAACAGTGTGAACAAAAAGGAAATAAAAAAAAAAAAAAAAAAAGCAAAAACGGCCACTTTTTCTAGCGTATCGTTCGTAATCCCTCTCAATCTTTCTCAGTGGTAGCCATCCCCATTTAGAGTTTTTTAGTGATGTTACACCTTAAAGAAATATACATCTTGAGATTTCCGAGTGAAAAGAAAAACGATTTAAAACTGTGGCATAGCCCCTTTCTAACTATAATTGTTGATTAAGAACAAACTACTCCCAACTTATGTGCGCAGTTATCTAGCGAAAGAAAGCTAGAGAAAATACCTGTAATATTGAAGTTCTTAACCGACCACCGTGTTTTTTTTGGGTTTTTTTGTTGTTGTTGTTGTTGTTGATGGAGCAAGCTAACTGTCGTCATAATTCACTTGATCAATTTGAACGTTATAGTTTGGTATCGGCACCTTTATTCCTGTATGCTAACCCAAAAAAAATAGTTCTAATAAACTTCCCCATGCCAAACGCTTCCTGTACTTTTTCTTCGTCCTCCTTTACGTCATGTAAATTTATATCGAGAATAGATACAAAAATATTGACAAGAAGAACCGCAATTGTCAGCATAAAACTGGCGGTAAAAAGTGAACCTAAAACTCTGTTGACATCATTAATCTCTACGACGTGAATTGTGTTGCCTAGCGACAGTTCAAACTCAGAAGCAAACGAGCGAGGAAAGGATGAAAAGGAAAAGACATGGCTACCAAAAGCCAGTAAAGCAAAATGAGCATGTGCCACAAAAAGTATACCAAAGAGGGCGCAAAATGATGAAATGTCGTGCCTCGCCGTAATAATTGTCCACGCTAAGATTTGCACATGTGGATTGAGACGAATAAAATGAAGAATTTTAAAAGTGGCAATAAATAAAGCGAGAGAAAGAGCAGCATTTTCAACCTCAGTCCAGAAAATTGCAAACTGGAAACTCACTGTCACAAACGGGTTCTTTCGAAGTTCTTTTATGCTGTCATGCATAAACTTCACCTTTATAATGTAGAACACTATGGCAAGTGAGGCACTCAGAATCTGTGCAATATCTATCCAGTTCCATATACGTCTAAAAAACGCATATCTTTGACGGCATAATCTGAATAACAGGATAGTGACATATACTAATACGATTAACATAAACAACAATTGGCATGTTAGGTAAAAACTGTAAGATAGATTTTGGAAATTAAATATTTTTATCGTGTCAATCTTCTCGTAAGTAAGCCCAAATCCAAAAGGTAGAACCTCGTAATGGTAAGTTACAATGCTCATTAAATTAGTGTTTAAGTTTAAAACTTGGAATTCAAGTAAAACGGCCCTTGTTCTTCTGTCAATCCAGTCCTTGTCTTTGACGTCTTCCATCATACGGATAGCAGTTGGTTTAACATACCCAAGGTCAAGAACATACCCACCACCGTCATATAGATGATGCTGTGCCCACGAAGGCAAGTTATTGAGCTCTTCTGGTGACGAATAACGCCATGGTCTGGGACAGAGTTGTGATAGGTTGGCCCAATCCTGCTGCGCGTCTGACAAATGAATCCAATGTGGGAGATAGAGACGAGTTGTGTCCTCCTCTGACATCGAGTAGAAATCGTAGCACTTGTCAATGATCGTCTCAAACTCTTTCATCACTCGGCAAGAATCTAGTTGAAACAAGAGCATTAAAAATAAATAACGATGTTGCGATAATAAAAACGTCTATAATGGGACTGGCTTTCTGTAGCTCATCACCATCAGTCCTTCATGAACTTATCTACTCGTAGTTGCAAGATAGAGCTGGTTCTATTGTAAATATTCTCTCTTCACTCCTCCCCACCCTCCCCCTCCCTCAAAAAATGATTACGATCATGATAGTGATAGTGTTAATAACAATAATAGACATAGGGAATTTACCTTCCTGTATCCTGAGCTGTCTAAGACGTGGCATTCCAATGAGCATTGAAGCTTTGTTGCCTATATACTCTGGTGTCTGTTCCCATTGGCCATTGTACCATTCACCGGCATACGAATCGTGAATGAATTTTCCCAGCATGTAAATCCACATTTTTTGCCCCGTGTTTACCTAAAGAAAACATATGAAATGCTCGATAAATTTCTTCTTGCCAGCATAATTCTAAAAACGTATCTCCCACTATTTCGAAATGAGATATAAAGTAATTAATTCAACAAGAAGGAAGACAGACGTTGTCAAGACAATATTGAATTCGATCGCGTGTGCAAATGTCGCAGCGCAAAAGTAATGCAGTCGAAATTCGTCGAATTTCGTTCTATTCTCGCCATATTTTGTCGAAATTTCCAACGGAATTTCGGAGACGTTTGATGCTCTTTAAAACGAGAATTCATCGAAATTTCGCGGATGGAAACGAGATTTCGCAGTAGCGAAAATTCGTTAAGGTGTCCGTCGGTTACATGTAAATCAAAACGAAAATTCGGGGCAACGATAATTCAAAGCAACGAAAATTCAAAGAAACTAGGTACAGTAACCTGCTCTAACATGTTCAGTTAATTTCAATACTTGTAAAAACATCTTGACGATTGTCCGAAAATATGTTATCAGTTTAATTTGTAGTTGGAAAAATCGTTGAATTCCTGAATTTGAACAAGATGGATAAACATTTGAGTGTAGACTGTCTTATATAAATTGTCTTATTTTCTTATCCTTACGCTACAGTGACTTCGCCACAAATACAAAGTTTTTCGGTTACCTTCTCTATTAAATCATTTTATGAAGTCTCTCCCTCGCGCACAATCGAAAAGTAAAAACAAACAAACTTTTCATCATGTCTCTTGCTAGCTCACGGTAGGCAGAATTTAAGCACTTCACTTTCCCTTGTTTAACTTAAGCAATCACGCTAGTTATTAATCACGAAGTATTTTCATCGACTCTTTATTAGTAATTAACTAGCTCAGCATATTATTGGTAAAAAAGATTCTCATTATTCTCGAGCACAATCAAACCTTTTATCAACTCAGTCAAGTCTCTCGTACGCATTCAGTGAAAACGATTCTCGCGCTGCTCTGGCGTTTACAAACAAAACCATTTACCAACTTATTTAGTCACTCGCACGCTTTAAGTTAAAAAGATTCTCGTGATTCTTTTACGTTAACAAACCTTTTGTCAACTAATCAAGTTTCTCACACGCTTCTCTTGCGTAAAAAGCTCCCTAAAAACTAATCGAGTCGCTCGCACTACACTCACTTAAACTATTTACATAACGCTAGCGGCATTTCGTTGAGAATAAAATGTCGTTCGAACTTGCGAACGAATTTTCGAGGACTTGAAGCGAATTTTCGAACGAAATTTCCTAAGGATTCGCGAAGTTTCGTTAGAACGTTTCACAAAGCCAAGCGAAATTTCACATCAGTAGCAACAATAAGCTTTGCAATTTTCGAAGAAAATTCTTCGAAGTGTTCTTTAAAACGAATTTTTTTTTTTCATTTGCGTCAGAAAGCGCCGAAATTCGCGATTTTCGTGGAATTTCGTTTGCAATATTTTTGCATAATACTGTATCTTGTTTATCACAGAAGTAGACGAGCGGTATAATCTGCACAAACCTTGCCAAAGTAGGTGAAGCTATCTCGAGTGCCTTTATTCATCAGATATCTGTGATAATCTTTATCCCCATAAGTTACTATCATCAGCAAGACATAAAACACCATAAAGGCGCCAAACTGTCTTGCAAAACGAAAAAACGTTGCCCTTTGTAGTTCATAGGCACGCAGCTCCTTCATCTCCTCTGCAAACGACGATCCAATACTATTACTCGTCTCGTCGGGAGATTTAGGCCTACTGAAGATAATAATCAACAAAAGAGTAAAGAATAAAACTTTGCATGGTTGCCAGATGAAAACATCCTTGATACAAGAGACAACAACCGAAGCCAGCCACTGATCTGTAATTTCTTTCCCCCATTGAAGACTGTAAAATACTGTTACAATGGCAGACGACAATATCGCCGCAATACAAAGAAACCAGCCGAGATGCACAAAATTATGAGGTAGCAAACATTTTCTTTTGGCCAAGGATGCCTTTGATGTGTCGTCTTCCTTCTCTCCACTCGTTTTAGCCCTCCTCTGACGGAATAACAGGGTTATCATAATACTTGCTGGAGCAACAATCAGAGAACTCTCGATTCCAACAATTAGTTGACGCAATGACATTTTCAATGGTCCAATTTCAATCACTTCATCTGAAACTCCTGTCACTTGATAAAACATAGCGTTACATGCCATCGCCAAATATAAAAGAGAAAGGCAGCACGAGGCTCGCTGTACACGTGTAAATGGGTTACGCGGCGGTCTGGTAACGACAGATGCCCAGAGATGATAATCCGCTAGATCCACTGAAGAGACAGAGAAGAACATGTTCTTAAATCCAGGACCATAATGATTTGGATCATTGGACATTAGGGTAGCCTTGGTAGATCCGTCACCTTTGTGAAGAGCAAGCCAACTGTGGTGGAAGAAATCCCACTTCTCGCCTGTACTTTCATCAACAATACGAACTTGATCCAGAAACCACGAGGAATTCTTCCCAGAATTGTCATGCCATATTTCTATTTTAATTAAATTTCCGAGGGAATTGTCCAGATGGAAAACAAACCTATCGATGCTTCCTCTACCAAACATTTTTCTTCCTGGTGGAGAGCTTTCAGTTAAGTTCACGGCTCCAAGAGTGCCTTCGGTGCCATAGATTTTAATAAACACGCTAGCCGTTGACCCAGCATTCCGCCAAACACCTGTACTTACTGTCAAATCATACCGGTGCGTGCAGTTGACAGAGCATTTGACGAGTACAGGGGGACCCAGCTACCAAGAAAGGAAGTAAATTTACACGTTAAAAGTCAACTCAACCCTTAGGTATTACATATAACAAAAGGATGTTGAGTCTAGAAAAGTTTAGGTGCGGTAGAACCCTCTAAACAAATAGAACAGAACACAAGTTCTACATTTGTTGAATAAGAATATCAAACATTGTGGCGTTTGCTGTAACAACATGAGATATAACAAGCGCTATCTATTAGAAGACACATTATATGGAATTATTTTGAGTTACATTCGTGGGACGTATTATTGGCAGGATGTTTGCGATAAGATTTGAGAGACTTATTTTCAGGGGGAGGGCGGAACAGATTCTTTTATATGTTGACGATAGTTTAAGTTCACTTTTGCTTGATACATAAAAGACCATATCTTTAGATGCGCATGAACAGTAATAGGCAAGTTGAACTGGAAGTAAAAGCGTTCGAGTTATGTAGTCGGCCAAAAAGCGGCGCTTAAACTCAGGTTTTCTGCAGCATGAAATGACTCCTCTGGATGCTGTTTACACACTTGGACGTAGGTAAGCACTGTGGAGGAAAAGCGTTAGACCAAGAACAAAACAAAATGACCTCAGGTGGCTTGAACCCACAACAGTCGGTCCGGTTTCCAGGACACAAACCATAAGGCCACTTCTCATCCCATTGGAACAGAAAATGAAAAATTCGCTATATATGTGCATTTTTCCACATTGACTGTGTAGGAGTTTGAAACACGGTTAAGGGTAGGAAGTTTTCATAATGACACTGTTTCTGCTATGTTAAGTCAAGTCGCCTTTTGGTGTTTCTCTGGATAAAATTAGCACTACATCCGTGCGTGTTAACGACGTAAAGCATTCAACAAGGAAGTGAAATAAACACTTCAATTAAAAATATTGAATGCTGATAACATTTCCAACAATAAAGAATAGAAGATATGGCTAATACCACCAGCTTACATGCAAATATAAAACTTGCCTTTCTTTCGTCCAGCATATCAGCCTTTCTGGCCCAGATTAACACCACAAGATATACGCCAAAAATGGCGCAGACCATTACGGGAACCAAATAATTTCCTGTTTCTCCGAGTCTGGAGAATTCTGTAAACACTTTGTCGAAGTCGATCGGATTTGGAGCAATGACAAAGCCTCCACCAAAAGCTGTGAGATGATTACATCGACACTGAAGTAGTTTGTCGTTCGTGTCATCTCCAACCTGAATAGAAATAGAAAATTTCATGAAATCTTTGACTTGAGGAGTTACGACATGTTGTGGACAAGGTAATTAAAACAAGAGACGAAACAAGAATAGCCCAAATCATAATGCCTTAATACATTGTTGAACAAACCTTGCTTATTTATTTTTTCTTCTTTACGTCCATAATATTTGCACACTTAACATAAATAACCTGTAAGCTTCTTTATCATCAAATCATTTTTTCAGAGTGCAAATGTTTTGCTAGACTTTTATCCCTTTTAGTCCCACGTACATTTATTCCAGGATATTTTCAAGGAATTTTCCATTATCTGGCAACTTCTTAACGATTTTTCAGGGCCTGTGTGAATTACGGTAGTTTTATAAGTCGTTTCTTGCTGTAAATACCAAAATATCATATGTACATTATGATTTTACTTTAAAAAAGCGTTCCCGCTCACAAATTTCAGTATTTTCCGACGATAAATGCTTCGTACAGGGCGAGCACTGCCTCTACCTCGCAAGCATATATCCTGCATTGGACGCAATTTTGATTGACTATAGAGGGGGTCACGTCAATCAGTTATGAAGGTGGCATTCCTCAAAAGAATTTTATCAGTCATCAGTAGAAGTCTTTTTTAGGCGACCGGTAAAAGACCCGAATCGGCAACTCACGTTCGTGCCTGAGATTTGAAATGGTAAGACATTAGAACTTACTTCTCTCATAATCTGAAGGTAAAGATCTTCTTGATTGTAGAGAGTGCAACAATGGGACATCATTTTTGATTCGCGTTAGTCAGTATGTATTGAAACTCGAGATCTTGACCCTATTTACAACCTTTGCATTTTCCGAACAAGTTTTCTGAAGTCAAGGTTGCAAAGACCATTCCCCAAGTTACTCTACATTATTACGATTATCATATTTTGCCAGTGAGGACACAGAAAATCCTCAAAGTCAGTTCTCCCGAATGTTTAGAATTAAAATTGTATTGTCTGTTGAAATAAAGAGGCAATGTACACAGTTTAATGTAATGTATGTATACATGGTGTAATCATTTTGGTTATAAGCGTGATAACTGTTTTAGTTATTTCCTACCAACCTTGCAGCCATCTTTAGTCCATTGGTTTTGCGTCAATGAGAAATAGTAGCAACTGTACTGGCGAACTTTGAGGCTATAGTTCTGGTCGGTAGAAGGATTAAATATCAATGTTCTGTTGTACTCAATTCCTTTCACTGGAGGTGGCTTTGGCTCAACGCAGTCTCTTTTCTTTCTTCTTCTTCCAAAGCACGAGCGTCTAAATCGAGTACGACTCAACTGTTCGACATATAGAACTCCGACGAAATACAAACCTGTTTGGTTGAAATCTGCAGTAGACATGATCTCGTATGGGCTCCTCGAGCACTTGACTACAAATCGACCACTTACGTTGACCCAATCACAAGACGAAAAATCAGGTACAATGGCAGTATAATCGTAACTGTTTACTGTTGGGCGTTCTCCATATTTAACATACACCAGCAGTAGAAGACTGCGGTTAATTGGTTTGACTTCAAGGATCATAGAATCGGAAATATCGGTGAGCACCACCGTGTGGTATCGCATCATAAGTGGTCTGGCAAAGAAGTTATTCACTGAGGAGTTTGCGGAATTAAGAGGTATTTTGATATCGATATCTAGGTTCTTTCCTCCAACGGGTAATATTGCTCCTTTACCGTCCATGAATTCAAGACTCATTATTTCCGTCTTCAGTTTTTTGTGGCTTTTATGCCACTGGTATGGATTAAACTTCGTGATAATCATCTGCAGAACAAATAAAAAGTAAAAAATAAGAAATTACAAACAACTGAACAGACAGTACGCGATGATGAAGAAGTCTTAGTAAAAGGTTGCACTTAACCTGATAATCAACCGATTCCAAATCTGCGTCAGGAAAGGCCTCCCTCATGTTTGGTGGTAGTATAAATCCTTGAGCCTCCGACACGTTTAAAGGTTTTTCTTCAAGTCCACAGGAAGTTTCGCGACCCACCATGATATCCATACCCGGGATCTGGAGACTTCGAGGAGACTGCGATACCGCTAACCTTGTTGTCATTGTCCTGAGTAATGTTCTTATAATCCTGATTGATTTTAGGACGATTTCTATTTCCTGGGAAGGCAAACATGCATTTGTATTAGGTTTAAATGGAAGTTAAATCAGAATGTTGTTGATAAAATGCATGTAGCCTTGCTCGTACT